ATAAATAAACAAATAAATCTAAGAAAAAAGAAAAAAGTGAAATAAATAGGAAAAATATGCAATTATGATAAATAATATTTGAAATGATCGCTTAGATAGTATTAAAGTATTTCCTGTTTAGAATTTTGTTATGTTTTACCTAAAATTTAAAACTAACCGTAATAATCGATAATTTATAGTCATTGGATAAATTAATAATTAACCATTATAATATGTAAATAATTCAAAAGAATATGAGAAATTTAATTTTACATATAAATATTTCTCAGCTGTTACACCATGGATGAGTCAATGATTCAGTGTCTATCATTGTATGTTATACTTTCCACTGTACTGAATATTGGTTGCAAGGAAGGAATGAACTGAAATGATTTTTATCAAATATCAGACGATATGGCCATGAATAACTATCATGTCAAAGAACGTACGAATTAATATCAGACTAAATTTTTTCCTCATTAAAATTTTATCTAATCTTATCTTTTCTAAAACGTATCATTGAAATTAGGTTGATTTGTAAACAAATTTTACTTGAATTAAAAAATATCGACTTTTTCCCTTTATCATAAAAAATATTAACAAAGTATCGAGTTAAGTTAAGTCAAATAACAATTAAGTAATTGAGTAAAGGCAACCTCAAAATTTTTGTACTATAATTTTTGAAAATTAAAGGAGTAAATTGAATTACCAAAAATATCTCGAATAAAAAGCATTTTTTATTGCGTAAAAATCATTGAAAATCATGACGACTGTCGAAAGCATGTTTTCACAGTTATAATTTCATATGAATCCTTTGCTTTTCTAAACAAATTTCTCATCATATCTACCGTGGTCATTTGGTCAGTTATAACAATGACAGCATTGTTGAGACAAAAATTTTCATCTATTTAAAAAAATTGCCAAAAGGATAAGAAACTTCTTTTTTTTTTGACTTCAACTTCACATATTGATGTACCAATAATAAAACGAAAAAAGTTTATCATATAATTTATTAACCACCCTACACTAATTGATAGTCATTGATAAAGTTAAACTCTTAACTTTCCCCTTCTTTCATTTTCCATACATTTCTTAGTTTTATCAAAAATATCACACTTTACTAAAAATTCTAACATTTCATTCTTCACATTGCAATTACATTTAGACCAAAATTAATCTCCAATTTTCGGATTTTGAAATTATTTGAGCATTTTAAAGTTTAAAACTAATTTCATCAATTTTTCTATCTTGAAAAAAAAAGAATGATATGTGATGTATGTGTCATTATGATGTTATGATATGAATATTTCACAATAAATTAAAACGATATATGGGATAGTTATTTGAAAAATTCGCATAATATTACATAGAAAAAAGGAAAAAAAAATGGGAAAAGTTTAATACAAATGTCAACAATAATATTCCAAAATGTTGACAATATCTCTTAATTAACTATCCTTTATTTGTCCATCAAAAATTCCAAACATTTTATTTTCTTCCCAATTATATTTATTATTTCCAATTATATTTATGATCCAATTATATTTATTAATAATGCTAAAGATATAATTAACCCATAAATATTAATTAGTTATGGAAATGGTAGATATTGAATAAATTAGAATAATTCCTTAATTGCTTAACTTATTATTATTATATCTTAAGTAATTCTCTTATATTTAATCATTTTTATTACGATAATTTATGATAAAATGCGAAATAATACCAATTCTTACTCAATACATTACACTAAATGAAAATGATTTCTCTTTTTTTTCTTCTCTCTCTCTCTCTCTCTTCTTTTCGAGTAATTTATCCTATTTCTGTTTCATCATACATCATATCTTCTCCTCTCTTTCCTTCGTTTTTTT